GTTATTTTTGTATAATGGTTATTGGGGCATCTTGAGATCTTTATCTTCCTCTACAAATTGTTCTAATTGTCGTAATGCTGATTCTTAAGTACCAGATATGATAAAAAATTACAATGTCTAATGTTTTAAAAAAAACTTATTGCAGAGCGCTGGCAAGACAGCTCAGTCAATAAGCAGCTGCTTTGGCAAGTGGAGCAACCAGGGTTTGATCCCTAGTCCCGCATGCCACGCTAGCCTCACCCCTGGGGAGCACTGAGCTGGTGAACAAATCTAGGCATGGTGGTACACACCTGTAATCCCAGCACTGGGGAGGCTGAAACCAGGAGGATCACTAGGAGTCCAACCTGCGTGGACCCTGTACCAAATACATAAAAAGAAAACAAAAAAAAATTGCAATCAAGGGCACATTCTCATTAATCCCCCTCAAAATCTTCATCCTTCCTTTAAACCTTCTTACCATTCTTATCTCTTTTTGAAGCATTTCTGGAAGTTCTCTTGATTTGTGTCACTAGTTACTCTGTCCTGGCTGCCTCAGTGTCCTGAACTGATTTACACGTTTTACATCTCATGGTCATTTAGACCATGAAAAGCTAGAAGTCATACAATGCCAAATGAGGTGGATAAGCTGGACGAGGCCACATGATAATGTTTTTATGAGTCTATCTTTCCACCACTTAACCATATTTTTAATATATTATAAATATATTCCCAAAAGAGGACTTTCCAAACTGCTTTAGAAAGAAGCAAGAACAATGGGATGTGTATTCTTAGCAAGAGGGAGTACTTTGAGGCTTAATGACAGTTTGTGTCCTTTACTATAATAATTTTTTGCAAGTAAATATTCACTGTATTTTTGATCAGTCCTTTATCTTTTTTAAAAAATTATATTTGGTATAGGGTCTCTATGTAGCTCAGACTCATAGAAATCTTCCTGTTTTCAGCCTCCCCAGGGCTGGGATTATAGGGGTGCATCACCACGGCCAGTTTCAGTGGCCTGCTCAGCACGCGTCGGAGGTCAAGACCAGCACAGCGTGTGGTGCTGGGGATCAAACCCCAGGCCCTGGGCTTGCCTACGCAGGCGCTTAGTCTGCTGAGGTATCTCACCTACCCAATCAGTCCTTCTAAATGCCCATGTTTCTCAGAAAGCATTAAATTGCATTCTGTTTGTAAACATGGAAACACACAATTAAATATTTAGAAGATCTTCCAGGTAGTATCTATCCCAAAGAGTGTTGGGAAGATTAAATGAGATTGTGAACATAAGAACACTCTACCTATAACCACAAAGCACTATTGCTATCAGCCAGGCAGGCCTTTTATTTGTGGATTTCAAACCAAGGCACAGAAAGATTAAATAAACTTAAGTTATTTTTCCTGTTAAA